ATTGAGATGGATTGTTTTGTAGTCTTAAGAAATAATTTGCTGAGCCTAAAGGTCTCACCCTTAGGGTCTGTTCTGTTAGAGCAAGGCTTTGATGTCCCCATCAGGATCAGTGCAGTTTGAGTTTTAAATCTATGTTTATTCAGGAGCATGGTCAGTTCCTCACCTTACTTTCTCTGGTATATGTTCCTCATTCATTTAGTTTAGGAGGAAAAACTAAGAAGGAGCACTGTCTGTACAAGCAAATACATAAGGCAGTCGCAAGTGTGCTTTCCATAATAAATGCACTGTATTCAACAAGTGCCAGGTTCCTGTTTTGTCCCAGCCATTCTTCTAGATACTAGACTGTATCTTGGAACAGAGCAAAGTCTTGCCCTTTTGGACCTTCCCTTCTCATAAGGGAAGCCAGCCAGACAATTACTGTTTTGGGTAGTGCTAAGTGCTGGGGTGAGAAACCTGGTAAAGAGAATAGGGAATGTGGGGTGGCATATCATCAAGAAGGCCTTTCAGATAAGGTGACACTTGAGAAAGGCCTAAAGGAATGAGGGAGCAAGTTAAGATGGGTGTTCACCAGATTAGGTTTCTATAAAGAGGGAACAATAAAGGCACAAATGTTCCTGGTGGGCTGGAGCTGAGAGGGAAAGAGGGAGTTTTCAGAGGTGAATCAGAGACTTAGCTGAGACCATGACCATGCTTGGCTTTCTGACACTTGAAAAGCACTGTGGGTCTTTCCGTCTCCGGCCACCGCAGCGAGAGGAGCCGCCGCCATGTCTGGGCATCTGCAGTGGATGGTGGTGCGGAACTGCTCCAGCTTCCTGATCAAGAGGAATAAGCAGACGTACAGCACGGAGCCCAATAACCTGAAGTCCCGCAACTCCTTTTGCTACAACGGGCTGATTCACAGCAAGACGGTGGGCGTGGAGCCCGCGGCCAATGGCAAGGGGATCGTGGTGGTCATGAAGCGGAGATCAGGGCAGCGGAAGCCAGCCACCTCCATCGTGCGCACCACCATCAACGAGAATGCATGCGCCACCCTCAGCAGCATCCGCCACATGATCCGCAAGAACAAGTACCACCTGGACCTGCACATGGCCTCCATCCTAAGAGCCAGTGCCCTACTGCGCAGCCAGAAGCCTGTGATGGTGAAGCGGAAGCGGACCCGCCCCACCAAGAGTGCCTGAGCCGCCCCCGAGCAATAAAGAGCCCTGCTTTCCCATGGCTCTGGGCCGCGTCTTACACACACACACACACAGAAAAGCACTATGGTCTGAGTGTTTGTGTCTCCCCAAATTGAGACTGAAACCCTAATTTCTAAGGTGAGGGTATTAGGAGATGGGGCCTTTGAGAAGACGATTAGGTCATAAGAGTGGAGCCCTTTGAATGCCATCAGTGCCCTTGTATAGGAGGCCAAGGGAGCTCATTTGCCCTTGTACCATGTGAGGACATGGTGAGAAGGTGCCACCTTGGGACAAAAAAGCACACGCTCACCAGACTCTAAATGTGTCTTGTCTTGGGCTTGGCAGCCTCCAGAACTATGAGTAATAAATTTCTGTTGTTTATAAGCCACCTAGTCTATGGTATTTTGTTTTAGCAGCCCCAAGACAAAACAGGTTTGCTTTTTAATCTGAGATAGGAAGCCATTGGAGGGCTTAAGGTGTTACAAAGATGCCTCTGGCCACTGTGTGGAGAAGGAATTGAAGGGTCAAAAGCATAAGAGACTTTCTAAGAGGCTATTCATTAAGGTCAGATTCTAGGTATATTTTGAGACAGGGCCAGTAGGTTTTTTTGCTTGCTTGTATGTTGAATGTGAAAAAAGATTTTTGTCTAGAGAATTTAATGGAGCTGTCATTTACAGAGATGGGGAAAATTGGGGTCCACAGAATTTCTGACTTGACTAATAATTGTAGGAATAAGCTATGGAGATTCAATGAAGAAGACGGTTAACTTAATCATTGATTCCTTAATTTCCTTCATGCTACGGCCTCATTTGTATTTGGGTCGGTACTACCACAGTTACTTGATCAATATGATCCTAGCATATAAACTTCAGGGATACTTACCTAGGCTTCTGTAGTTCTTCGTGGTCAGCAAAGGATAGGGTTGTTTCTGTCCAGAAGAGCCTTGGGATAGATTCTGTAACTAGGGCTACTCCTCATTTCAGGTGCTGTGTTGGTTTCCTAACTGCATAACAGGTTATCCAAACCAGTGGCTTAAAACAACAAATTTCTTCTCTTACAGTTCTGGAAGCGAGGAGTCCGAAATTAAGTTGTTACAGGGCCATGCTCCCTCTGAAGCGTCTTGGGAAGAAGTTTTCCTTGCTGCTACTGCTGCTTTTTTTTTTTTTTTTTTTTTGGTATCAGGGATTGAACTCAGGACCTTGAGCTTGTGAGGCAGGTGCAGTGCTGCTGAGCTACATCCTCGGTTCTCTTCTAACTTGCTTTTTTTTTTTTTGGTACTGGGGATCGAACTCGGGACCTTGCACTTGTGAGGCAGGCACTGAAACCACTGAGCTAAATCCCTGGCCCTCTTCTAGCTTTCTTATAGATAAAGCACACGTCTCTGCCTCTGTCAACTTACAGTGTTTTTCCTCTGTGTGTGTGTTCCTGTCTTCACATGGCCTTCTGTGAAGGATATTAAACATTGGATTTGGGTCTACCTATCGAGTATGACCTCAGTTTAACTTGGTTACATATACAACTAAGGTAATGTTTATAGGTACCAGAGATAAGAACTTTATCATATCTTTTTGTGAAGAACAGCTCAGCCAGTAACAGGTACATGGCCTCAGTTTGACTCTGGGGGTCTTCTGGGCTTACATGTGCTTGGAAATGAGGCAGGAGCTATTAAAATTATTGGAAAATAGATCCCACTATGCTGTGGATGCCTCATCTGTGGAAACTTTTAAAAAAGAATTATCCATTACATTTAAACTAATTAAAGACTTAAAAATAGATTATTTTCATTGTATTTTAAAAGTTGAAGCTGGGCATGGTGGCGCACACCTGTAATCCCAGCACTTGGGAGGCTGAGGTAGGATTGCTGCAAGTTTGAGGTCAGCCTGAGCTACATAGTAAGTTCAAGGCCAGTCTGAACTATATAGTGAGACCCTGTCTCAAAAAAAAAAAAAATGCAAGTGGTAAGATTATTGAAAGTAGAAGGAAGAGATTTTATTGGATAAAGAATTTTTAAAGATGAAAGTGACAACCTGAATTTGGCCAGAGGCCTAAGTATTAGAGCGGAGAGGCACTTGGTGCTTATGTTCCAAGTTTATGGTCTTGCCAGTGAGTTGGCAGAGATAGAATGCAGGAGAGCTCTGTCCCTGAGCACTGGCTATGGCAGAGAAGAACCTGCTTCCTCCACCAGCCCAGCCCTTACCTTCCCATGGGGCTGGGCCCAAAGGTGCCCAGGTGGTGTGTGGGACTATCTGGCTGTTGCCCCCTCCTGTGCAACACCCAGTTCATGTACATTCTTCAGTGATGTGTCAGAATGTGCCTCTTTTTTTACTCACAAGTAAAGTCTAAGGGTTGTTTATCAAAGGAAGTTCAAGTTCCCCCTCTGCTATCACAATGATAGGATTATATCAGGTTTACCAATGTAATTAAAATTTCTTAGCAACAGTATATACTTGTGGCCACTGAATTGTGTTACCACGGTCACCATGAGTTTTATGTAGTTCCTGCTGTGTTGTAAGGAAGTGTGTGCACATTGGCAGATGGGAGATGAGTAAAAAGATGGGGTTCTTTCTAGCTCTAAGGAAATTTGAAGTTAGGAAGGACAGAGGAGTCAGAGGTTTACATGAGAACTGTAGAGATTTATTGTCTGTGACATTTGGCTCCTGTGTGGAAAAGCCTGAAAATGTATCATTTAATAAATGTGTGGACAGAGAATGGGAGAAGTTAAAGGCAGGGACATGGAGGCAGGCACCAGAGAGATTTGATGGTGAAGGCCATGAGGAGTAGGTCATTTCAATTTTCCTGTCTTAGTGCTGGCAATAGTTGTCTGGCTGTGGTGTCACTTGAAGCACAGTGATGTTCGTGTGGCCCCTTTCCCTCATTTCCTGGGTCATATTTCACTTGGAGGAAGTGGGGAGGGCTGAGAGAAGGGCAGCGGTGGCACCTGGGCTTCCTGGATCAGGCTGTACATTACTGCTCCAGTGTGGTTCAGTCTGTCACGTGCACCACAGAAGAGGATACTTTTCAGTATTCCTCAGGACATGGATAGTATTCCTCTAAAAGTGAGCCTTCATTTTATGTCTGCTTGGTGGGAATACAACCACAACTATGTCCTCAGGGCAGGGACCAGTGGTAAAGCCACCATACTTCTAGGGTGAGCATAGGACAAATTATGTACACACATCATTTCCTTTGACTAATTTTCTGTAATCCTGGTTCCCATGTGGCTTCTGAAAGTAGTTATATTTAACTAGGTTGAGATTTTTAATTTAGGACCCAGATGGAGCAGGAGGTAAACTTCTAAAAGGTCTGCTTTATTCAGTGTGTCACTGTCCTGGCAGCACCAGTTTCATTAGAAAAGCAGATTCCACTCTGACTCATCTGCCTCAGTGAGACGTGTGATCCGACTCACAACACTCACGGCAGCCTACGGCTTGCTGGACAGACCAGTGTATACTGTCCGCTCTGCAGTATTGGGTTAGGCCATGGAAAACGTTAAGAGACAGTCTGTTATGGGGCAGGACCTTTGTCCGGGAATTTCCTGGCTTTTGTGTCTGGTGTAACTTCATGTACTGAGATGCCTGTTTTTAAAGGCCACTTCCTGCTGGGGGAAGAGTGCTCCAGCCTGCCTTCCACAGAGCACTTCTGCGTTCTGCATCAGGCCACCTCCTCCCTTTGAACATTAGCCCAGGGGTGGCAGGTTTATGTACCTGGCTTCCAGTTGACACTATGTCCCTAGAAGTCACTGATCACAGAGATGCCATACCCTTTGCACAGAAAAGCTGCATCTGCCAACCTAACCTGTTCTAACCCTTCTTTCTCATATTGCAGCAGAAAAAGTCCTACCTGGAGCGAAGTGTTAAGGAAGCTGAGGACAACATTCGGGAGATGCTGATGGCTCGAAGGGCTCAGTGAGCCGCTAGAGGACACTCCTTTTAGACCCCTCTCATCTTGGCAAGGACAGAAAGACCTTCGCGGGGTGGCAGCCTCCCTCTACTCAGATGGACATTTTATCTGGTTGGCCCAGCAACCAACCCCATATTTTCTGTATTGCCCTGAGCCACTTTCAGGTTCCACTCTGTATATTCCCCCCAGCTTTGCCTGCCACCCCTTACCTGGATACTCTTCTCTCCTGAGGTGATCCATGAACTCCCAGGAGAGGGAAGATGGGAGGCAGGGCAGATGGGTGTGTTCTGCCCGAGCCTGCCACTAGGTAAGCTACTCAGGCCAATAAAAGGTCTGTCCTTTTATTCTGTCCCACTCTGCTAAGTCTGTTTTTCTTGAGAAAGAGAGGACATGATCAGCAGTGGGATTATCCTTGGCTCCTGCTCCCTTGCGCTGGAGCCTTTTTCTCCTTGGGGAGTGGGATCTTGCCCCTTTCTGATCTGACTGACCCCCCCTGACTTCTGGGCCTCCCAGTAGTACAGAGGAGGAAGAAAGGAGACTTAAGTTCGCAGCTGAAGTGTACAGCCAGGTCTGCTGTGGCAGTCAGCCTCCAGATTTTTTTCTTGCTTCCTCCCAGGCATGCCCACAGGTCATTAGCCAGCAGCACCTCCAAGGCTATCTCCTTTGGCCAATGTCACAAGATGGATACTACCATCCTGAGGCCTCTTGGAGGCTTAGGGGCAATGGTGTGCTGGAGCTGGCTTATCCCACTCAGGAGAGATGATTATTTGGTTGTCAGGAATTTTGTTGCAAGGCACTTGTTGAACACAGCCATTGTTAAAAACTAAATTACAAAAAAAAAAAAAAAAGCCATAGCTGGGGATTTAGCTCAGTGGTGCCACACCTGCCTTGTAAGTGCAAAGTCTCGAGTTCAATCCCTGGTATGGAAAAAAATCCCTAAATTATGTAGCATGCACAAGGCGCTAGGTTCAATCCCCAATACCATAAAAACAAACAAAAATCCTGAAGTATGTAAACTTAGAAATTTATCCCTTCCTAGTTATTTTTCTATATGTGGCCACTGTGTGCGCTCCTAAGGTTAGAATTAAGTCACTGTGCCTGGGTGGTGGGAACATTTCATAGTGTGCTTCTGTGTCATGTCACGTAGGGAACTTACCCCACAGACATAGGAGATGCTGTGCTACCAAGTCATGGCTTTTAAGAGTGAAGATAGTAACTAAAAGGTGATGCACAGCACTGCTTTGGAGGGTGGCAGGCAGAGGTCAGCCGGAAGCTGCCAGCTGCAGCCTCTGGCCTGCTGGGCAGGCCTGTTGAAGGAGCAAGTCTAACTTGTGCTATGGCAGCTCAACGCCACCCCATGGCCAATGAGTGGCATGGCTGTTAGGGTGGGGCAAAGGGAGGATGGGGACAGTAGATCAGGGACGACTGGGGTCTGTCTTCATGACTCTACGCTCTTGGGGTACCCCTCATTCACCAAGAGGCCCCTTTCCAGGGCCCTGGGTAGAAGCAAGTCTGAGTTATGCTGATGAATGCTTTTGCTGGTGCCCATCTCTGAGGGGGACTAGGGAGTTTAAGGACACTTAGCTTCAGAGCCTGCCTTCCTCATGGTAGCCACACTGTTGAAGAAGCTAGGATGAAAAGATAAAGAGGCGCCTCCTCATGCACTGAACAATGGCTGTGAGCTGAGATACCTACATTTTATAGGCCTTAGCAAGCAGATGAGTAGAAATGGTAAGAGTTCAGGAGGCAAGAAGCACAGACCCAAGATGTTTAGATTATCCCCAAGAATTCAGACAGATTTATTTTGGACAAATTTATTAAAACATACAGGGTGTGAGCAGAGAAATCATTCAGTGGTGTCTTACATCTTGCCACTACTTTGTGTGTGTGTGTGTGTATATATATATATTTTTTTTTTGGTACTGGGGGTTGAACTCAGGACCTTGCACCTGCAAGGCAGGCGGCGGAACCACTGAGCGAAATCCCCGGCCCCACTTCGTATCTTTTTAAAATTATAAATATATATTTTATAACTAAGCCTTTGGCCAAAAAAATAAAAGGAAAGTCATTTAGCACATTTGTTACAGATCAATAAGAAAGGGATTTTGAACATTAAAAAGATCAAGTCACTGAATTAAACAGCAGCAACCACTGCTAATCTAGAAACCCGGTGTTGAAGCTAGTCATTTATTACAGCAATCAGAAGAGATGGGCAGGACACCTACAGGAGGTGGTGGCAGAGTTGGCAGGGCAGGAGGACTAGACTGATCAGGTGAGCATGTCCCAAAGGCAGCAGCAACAGAGTGCAGTCCAGCAGGCCGTGAGGCAGGTAGATGGGCCCAGGTCGTCTCTTCTTTGGTCTTCTACCACATACACTGGGGAAGAAAAGGGCAGGGGGTGAGAATGAGCTGGTGCAAACCTTGGCTTTACATAGTTAGCCTCCCTGTGGGGAAAGGAGGGCTAGTGTAAGCAAAAGCCATTAAGCAGCCCAAGTGCAGCCTCTCTGCTCTTGCTGCTGATGATCAGTAGAGGAAGGATGGCTTAGCTCATCCACTGCTTTCCTTCCTCTTCCCACCACTCCAGACTGGACATTCACATCCTCATAGGAATGGGTACTAGGGAAAGTACAGAATGGCCAGTGTTAAGGGAGAGCTGATGAACCCTAGCTGATCACTAAAGCAGGGAGCATTACATTCTCTGAGGGTGGGGGATCTCTTTAGATACAGCTAACCCACCACCCAAGAGTAAAAGGAAGAGGCACTAACATCTAAAGAGGGGCTTGAAGCCCTAAAGGAGTAACTAGGAACCCTGTTTTTCTCATACCTGAGCAACACATAATTGCAGAATCTGCCCCAAACGCTATACTGTGACATAAAGCATTAAAGCAGGTAGGGAGGATGGCCTGGTCAAGGGGGCTGGATGGCTAGAGCTGTGTGTTATCTCCTGGGCCTGGTACTCTGCTTTTCCTCAGAATGGAGATGGAAATCTTGAATGCTAAACAGATCCACAGGTGAAGATAGGCCCCCAAGCCCTTTAGTTGTGAACTGACACATGAAGGTTTTAGCTTCTCTTCTCAAAAGTACCTGTGCTCAATGGCTGGTGGTCAGCCTGTAGTCAGTTTTTTAAAACCTCAAAACAACGGCATCATCAAACTCATAAGCAGTAAGGATTTCCAACTTTTATTTATGAGCAAAGCTCATAAATGCATGAACCTTACGAATTAGACCAATGCTTTGGCAGTTCTCTTTCAGTTCTATTTTTGGCATTTTCTATCTATTTCTATACCTCCTCTCTTGGCAACTGCTTTCTGGAGCTGCTGGTGTAGCTAGAATGCACTGGCTTAGTATGGGTCTTTCCCAACTCCACCCCTTATGTCAGTGGCCCTCACTCTACAGAGATCTTCCTTTTCCTTCTCTTGGGGTACAGGTTTTGTTTTTTTGAGACAGGGTCTTGCCAAGTTCCCGGTGCTGGCCTTAAACTTCTGATCCTCCTGCCTTGGCCTCCAAAGTAGCTGCATTTACAGGTATGTGCTACTATACCCAGTCTGGGGCAAAGGCTTAATCCCAGCTCACTTTATTTGGCCCCACTCAGCAACCCAGGCAAATGCATCTGGGTCTTAGAGATGACCCACACCATGGAAGCTTGGTCAGAGAGGAGGCTGACCTATTTATTCTGAGGCATTAATAAGGTATGTTTACAATTACACCCTCACCCTGAGCCCTGCAATAGGGTTGGTAGGGAACCTAAGAGATAACCAAGTTATCTCTTGATCCAGCACATGACCAGGCAGAGGCAGGTCAGGATTAGAACCCAGGCCTTCAAGACCCTAACACCTCTGGCAAGCCAAGCCTGCTCAAGGCCAATTGGGGTAGAAAATGGACCAGGAAGAAGTCCTCTCTCATGCCAAACCACACCCCACTCTTGGGGCACTGAAGTAGGAAGGCCCAGGCAGAGGCATCTGCCCAGATGACCTCTCCATGTCCCAGGCTTCTTGGGTCCTGCATAGGCTGCTCTGGAAAGGGAAAGAACACAGTGGACTGGAGAACTCCTTAACCCCATCCTTACATTCTCCCTGCCACTCTGGAAATTGTCACCTTGATTTACACATAGGCCTTCCCTGGGCTGTGTTGCTGTGACAGGTCCTGTGTTCTCCTGCTACTGTTTACAGAAGTGCTCTCCAGTATGAGGAGCAACCCAGGGTTCCACGTGGTGCCATGCAGTCCTTCCAATGGCCTTGTGTGACGCACTGGACACCCATCTCCCCACTGTCTCTCAGGGACAGGGCTGAGGCAGCAGTCATGCCCTCTCCTCTGCCAGAATATTAAACTGAATAGCTGACCTGGGGAAACAAAACTACAAACTGTCCCATTGCGGTCTTCCCCACTTCCTATCTCCTCCAGCTCAGCCAAAGTCGTGATGCGGGTACTCATTTCACATCATAGTCTCAGAAACCTAGAGAACTAGGGACTTTGATTTCATTGCTTCCAAACGATGCTGACAGAGGGTAGAAATAACATCAGACTGGAGGGCTGTGTCACCTGTGACACAGGCGAGTGCCCAATGCCCCTCTGAAACCCACACTTGCTCCTGGGAGCACTCTGATTTCCCCCTTCAGACCCTCCCAGCTGTTGGGAAGTGGCCTGTGTTTGCCTTGCTTTTCAAGTCACCCAAAGCAGAGGGTAACTGGCCAAGGTCTTCAGGCTATCTCAGGCTGTGGGGCCCAGAAATGGCAGATCTTGGCAGCATCTTTTAGGTGCCCAACCTACCACTGGGAGTGAGGTGCTGTGTCTTCCTCCAGAGGGTGCCTGCTCACTTAGCTACAAGGCCTTATTCCACCCCAGGATCCTGATCCACCCACGGACCTTCACTGCTCCTTGCCTTCTGTTCTGCCACTGTCCCTGTCACTACATAGTGGGAGAATCGGAAAACTCTATACTGCCCTGATTGGCCAGCCAGTATGTACTTCATGCTGTCTGGGTCTTGGGCCCTGACACCCTGGGTACATGAAGCCAGAGTACCCAGTGTGCAGAAACTCAGCTGGCATCTGTAGTCACATGACAGGAGTAGGGTCAGAGATGGCTCTGACCAGGGGGATCCACACCCAAGCCAGATGGGCTGTCCTGGCAGCTGCCTCCTCTACTGCCAAGCTGAGCATTAAAAGGGGAACAGAGCCATGGCTTTTAAAAGATCTTAAACTGTATATACAAACTGTACTATCTTTGTAAGTCAAATAGTATTTTTAAATACAGGATTTTTTTGTTTTTGAGACAGGGTCTTGCTATGTAGTTCAGGCTGGCCTTGAACTCATGGCAATCTTCCTGGCTCAGCCTCTGAGTGCTGGGATTACAGGTGTGCACCACCACCCCTTCCTTTTTTTTTTTTTTAAGGAAAAAAAGGGATTGGTCAGAAGGTCAGAAGAGCAATAGATAGGGGTGAAGCAGGCAGTGCCCTTCTGGGCAAAATCAGTAATCTGTTCTTTTTTTCTTTCTTTTGGTACCGGGAATCAAACTCGGGACCTTGTGCTTGTGACACGAGGCAGGCTGTGGCAGAACCACTGAGCTAAATCTACAGCCAGCAGTCAGTCAGTTCTTGGTCAGTGAAGAGGCTCTGGTACCTGTAGTGCTTGTTGAGCTCTGGCTCCTTCTTGGAGATCAAGTGCCCCCCTGTGGCCAGCCTGGGGACAAAAGATGCAGGGCCCAAGATTGGCTACCATGTGGCCAAAGGCTAACCTCATCACTACCTACTGTCTCAGACTACCCTATTCAGCCAGTGCTAGGGGCCTGTCTGTGCCCTGACCCCATGCAGGAAGGGACTACAGTTAAGAGTGAGGGTCAGGTCCAGGGGTCCCTTCAGTGCTGCAGACACTCACTTAAAACAACCCTTAGTATTAGCCCAGCCCAGTGTGGAGTCTGCAGAGGGGCAGGTATCCAGAGCTTTGTCACAAAGATGCAAGAGCTGAAGTAGGGGACTGGGATGGCAAAGTGAGCAAGGTAACCTGGAGGCCCAGACTAGGCCACAAAGGCCCAGATGCAGAGCAGTTTTGGGAGGAGCTGAGCCATTTCTGGTAGTGGCAGTCACCCCTTCTTGCCTTTTTTTCTGGAAGTGATCTCCAGGTCCACCAGTGCCCACTCAATTTCAGCCACCAGACACATCAAACAGTAGCCCCTTATTCCCAGGGCCATTCTTTTCAATCCCAGAGGTTTTCAATCCTATTCATGTGGGGTTCTCAGAAACCTGGTTCTGGGCAGGCAGTGAGCAAGTGGGTGGACCAGTGCAGGGATGACCTGCAGGAAATATGAGCAGAGGCCTTCTCGGGTGAATGCTCCAGTTTTCTATCAGTCTGGCATCTAAAACCTTCACTTGCTTAGCTTGGACTTTTAAAATAATTAATCAAATGCTCTGATGTGGTAATAGAGCCTCATTAGGTCCTCCTTATTTGTGCACACTTGTGAGTGCATCTGTACAGTCCTGACCCAAGAGAGCTGAGGAGGAGAAGCAAACACTCAGAAAGTGGGGGCCCCCAAGAGGATTCTGGTGCCTGGGGCTTTCAACAAGCAGCAGCAAGGAGCTTCAACAAAGAGCAAAGAGGCAACACCCTGTCCATCATGGCCCAGACATGGCACCCAGGGCTGGCCCTCAACTTTAAGACCATTCAGCACCTCCGGAGAAGTGCCACCTGTGGAGACAACAGCTTTTGCAGGAGGAGGAAAACCTATCATCTCAACTGGCCTTGCCCCATGCGGGGCATCTACACCAGTAGAGGAAGGCTGGCCAGCCAGCCTCCTGGTAGGTTTCAGAGGCCAGAATAGTCCTACTGCGCAAACCAAGAGGAGGGAAGGGAGGGGGAAATCTTTAAGCATTTTCAGAATAAAACCTTAAGACGACCCAAGGGCACTCTGTCCCTTATGCAGAAGCAGAAAGGACAAACAACCTGTGAAGGCTTCAGTTCACCTCTCCTTGGATGGTTGGTGCAGTGGGATTGTTTACCATCAAGCACAAAGGGGCTGCACTGCTGAAAACATCCTAAAGGCACCTGCTCAAGTCTGGTGAGCACCACCAGGTAGGTATTTTTCGAGTGTGTGGTGATGGCCAGGAACATCAGGGGCACTGAGTCCAACTTCCATCCTCCCAGGGTTATCTGGGGAGAGTAGGGTTCCGTAGTTTGAACCTGGACTTGGAGGGTTAAGGGCAGAAGAGGTTAGGGGCCTTCACTTTGCTCCTCCCCTACACCTACCTGCTTTTGCCTGCCCCCAGCCTTGAGAGCCTCTGCCTGCCCTACTCAAACCACCTTCTGCAGTCTTCAGCTCTGGCCTCACTCTTTTCTGGGCTGAGTCAGAAGACCAGGTCTCCGAGGTCCCCGTCTTCCCTGCTTCAG